AGTTTTACTGAATAATCCTCTTCTCATTTACTGAATTTTCTTACTTAATTACATTTACATTTGAGGTGTATATATATAACCAAGGCTGTACTAAGCTTTCCCTAACAACCTGCTGTAACAAACATAACAGCATAACAAACTAAAATGAGCTGTCATGAGTCATGACTTGGCATCTTTATCTTTAGGGAAATCATTGCCCTATTTTTAAAAATAGTGTTTTATTTATTCTCATTTCGACTAACTATGGACTTATTTATTCATAGTTATGTTTTCTATACCACATGATGTTTCAATTTCTTACTTACTATGAATAAATAAGGAGTAATGCTATACTTACCATATTTTTATTCCACGTTTCTATACCACATGATGTGGCATGTCCATATCATATGCCACATCAATTAAACGAATGAAGTGTATTTTAATAAATAAAATTAGAAGAACAGAAACTAGTATTTTACATGATGTGATATGTACACATTAGCTGCCACATCATGTGTTATGAAAATGTGGTATAAAAAATGTGGTAAGACTAGTATTATTCTTTTTCTTTTCCCCTTGTGTTCCAATTTAAAAAAATAGAAGGGAGGGAAAAAAAGCACCACTCATCCTCATTGTTTCTTTTCTCTAAGAGATTTTCTATTTAAACCCCACACTTCTCTTAGTTCACCCCATGTTCTAAGTTCACCCCAACTTTTAATTTAAATTTTCACAATTTCTAAGTAAACCCTATTATCTTCCCAAACTACCCTTAAATACACCCCAAGCTGAAAAAATAAGAAATAAAAGAGATTTTCTATTTAAACCCCACAAGCCTAATCGTAGTAGAAATAAGAAATATATAAACTTCATGCTCATCAAATTAAAAGGTACAAAACAAATTTGATATTTTTCCATACAATGGTTATCCCAAGCCTAATCGTAGTAGAATCAATATTCAATTCATTCTTATATACACTTGGAATGACTAAGAACTTTCATCTTCAGTCCTCGCTCCAGTCATGAACAGGAGCAGTTACATTCCAGCTCCAGTCATGGAACAGAAGCAATTCATTAACCTGGAGGCATTGTCGTATTTAAGGGGAGAACATAAGCTTTTCCAGTAGGCATTGTCCTATTTAAGGGGAGAACATAAGCTTTTCCAGCTCTGTCCACTTGCTTAAATCTGTTTGGTACTTGCACTTTTTCAAACATCACCAAAGCAAACATTGCCGACTCTTCATGAAATAAAGAGAGAGCAACAGAAAGAAAGATGCAACAATTTTATTTTCCAAGGTTCAATTATAATAACCAACGACAATCTTATTAGTTCCCTCAAGAAAATTTTAGGCCAGAAAACGTAAATGTAAGAAAGAATGTTCTTTCTTTTGGACTTGCACAGGCAGACTTATGTAATGTACTGTACCCAAAAAAAAAAAAAAAAACAGGGGCCTATAACTATAAACACCAATTGGTC